TCTTTGCATAGGGCCCCACATTTCCTAAATCTGCACCTGCTAAATACTGTATAAAAATAAACATAAATTTAAATAGAAATGTCTGTTCTTTATCAGCCTCCACACAACAAAACCAAAAGTGTTGAATTTCCAGTGAGGTTTGTTAACACTCCTGCATTCATGAACAGATAGATAGTTTTACGCGTTGCTGTGTACGGTTAGTGTGTCCCAATAGTTATAGGAGCTAGGGGGAAGCGCCCTCCAACCCTTAAAATGATCCCTTCAGACCGCGTGAGGTCGGGAGCTGGCTTCGGAACGGCGTGCCTTCCCAGAACTCATTCAGGGAAAGAAAAATGGCGTCCGGCTGCTTAGAAGAACGCCAGAAATACTGTTGGAAGTTAAATTTTTCCTACTCAGGGTAAACAAATCAGCAGAATTCCTCCCACTGAGCCAACCTATCCAACTCTTATCTCTCAGACTGCCTCGAACCTCCTCCCTGCTCATGATGAACAGGTTCGTCCTGCAGCTGGGGGGGGGGGTCATGGGGTCACATACCAGTGTAGCTGTTGTGTCCTTGGTGAGACATCTGACTCGTACTGATGGCGTTCAGAGGAGGCGGTGGCGGCTGTCCTGCTGTCAGCACGGGCAGCTGGTGATACTGGGTTAACCTTCCACATCTAGCAGGAATGTGGGGGGGGGAACTGGGAATTTCAGCTATAAAAAGAGAAATCCCACGGCGTTCCTCACAGAGGGAACTTTCTAACACTTTTATAGGTGTTATTTTAACTGGACGCTTTAAAAGCAGTTGACCCCCCCAGGAGTTCAATGAACGCCTCCTGATTTGCTTTGCAGCAGATTTTCTTCATAATTGAACTTTATTGAACTCCCTCTCTGCATTTAACCCCTCCCCTTGGGGAGCATTGGGCTGCCATTGCGCGGCGCCCAGGGAGCAGAGGGGGGTTTAGGGTCTTGCTCAGGGACCCAGAGTGCAGGCTACCTGTATAAGTTGAGCAGAAGTGGAACATTGATGTGATCCAGCTTCTCCTGCAGACTCTAATCCATGTTTCCTCCACTGAAAGCAGAAGTTCATCATCACCGCTTTAACAGAATCAGTTTCCTACCATCGCATCATATCTCAGCCTGTTCATGAAGTGCGCCGCCTCGGCTCCCTTATAGTAGCTGAACCACACGGTCCCCTGGAACTGGTCTCCAGCGTCCAGCAGCAGAACGTTCTTCTCTTTGCTCCGGATCCGTTGGATCATCGTGGCTCTCCTCGCCACGCCGCCGAAGCATTCCCCCGCGTTGCCGCTGCATTTACCGGAGTAGACGCTGGTCTCCTCCACGCGCGCGTGCACGTCGTTGGTGTGGAGGAGAACCAGGTTCAGGTCGGCCGCGGCCGGGCCGAGCAGGAGGGCGAGGAGAAGGAGGAGGTCGGTCCGCTCCATCTGCGCGCTGTGCGTAAAGTAGGTCTGCTGCTGCTGTTGCTGCGCTCAGACTGCCTCCAACCTCCTCCCTCCCTCTGGGTGTGTGTGTGTGTGTGTGTGTGTATGGGGGGGGGGGTGCTCTGAGCAGCTGAAAGGCCATTTTGAAGGAGTAACTATAATCTTTAACTGTAAAATAAGCAGAAATCAGAAGGGAGTCTCCCAGGGCTGTGTCCTCCACCCACTGTGATTCAGTCCACTGGAGACCAAAGACCACAACATGTCTACGGGTCCGAATCTTCTCGTCCTTCTGGATCCGAGTTAGAGGTTAGAACCCAGACGGAACATAACAGAGAGTCTGGCTCCTCTTCATCTGAATAGAAATGTTTTGACCACAGCGCCTCTCACTTCCTGTAATTAGCTTTGAATGTGCCAGTTTTCGGGCGGTGCTGTCGAAAAAAGGCCTCCCTCTGTGCCCAGGGACCAAAACATGTTGTGTCTGTCTGATGAGGCACAGTTAGGAAATGGAACCAGAGCAGAGGAAGAAGCTGAAACCACAGAGCTGCACCGTGAGGAACCTTCCGGCCTCCATGAGCTCCTCAGCTCCATTCACACTTTAGAAGCAGCATCTTCACCTCAAAAGATGGGATTAAAGGTTCAGCTGAAGTCTGCTTCTAAAGTCTGGCTTATTTTCGGTGACATCACGTCATCGCATCATCGCCAGCAGCTGGAAAGTTTGAATCAGACAGGAAGAAGAAGAGGAAGCTTTGTTTTAGCGCCCTTTAGGATCATGGTGCAGGGTTCTCCCCCCAGACTCGTCTCGCCCATGAACGCAGGTCGCAGCAACGTGTCATTTCCCTCCATAAATCAGTAGTGAGTCGGCAGAAGAAGCGCCCACTGGTCCTCTGATGTGGTTCTGGGAGGCATCTGTAAAATGTAACGCAGGACAGATTGAACAATCCTGTCTGTGGACAGAAAAGCAGTGAGTCAGAGAGGAACCTGTGAGATTCTGCAGGAATCAGATGGAAGAAAGCAGCTCATCCTCTCCCCCTTTCAGAGACATAGACAGGTATGGGGCATTGCAGCCTAACAAAAGAAGAAAACGTTCATCTGTTTTTCTATTTGCATGTTTTCTAAACTAAGCCTGGAACTAAACGCTATTTCTGACATTTGGAATAGAAAAATCTTCCTGGATGGAAGAGAAACGTCTTCAAACTTGGAAACAAAGTCCAGAGGATTGATTTGAACTTTTTAGGAAAGCAGCTCCTCATCTCAGATTACTTGACTTTTCCAGAGGATCTCTGGCTTTATGCTTCTACTGGTAACAGGAACAAGCAGTGAGGGAAGCTCATAAAACATCTGGGGAGCAGATGGCAGCTCTGCTGGCAGAGAAACATGTTGGAACCTGAGCTGCAGGCGTCATCAGAGGAAGCTGATGGGGTTTCCCCACATTCAGAATAAATTAACATGACTTAGAGAACTTTTACTGTCATTTTGTATAAACAGGGTGTATAGAAAACAACATTTTGTTGAGTATAGCTTTCCACACAGTAAATGAACGTTTCCATCCATAAAGAGCAGCAGTGATCACATGTAAACAGAGTGGGAGAAAAAATCATGGAGGATAAAACGCTTTGATCTGGAAGTTCAGAGCTTTAATATCTATGGAGAAAATCTGCAGTATTGTTGGTTTGGTGTCATCAGAGTCTGATTTAGAGTTTAAACAGTTCATCAGTGTGATGGCGGTGGGGAAGAAGCTGCTGCAGAACCTGCTGGTCCTGCATTCAATGAAGCCTCTTCCCAGTAGGGAGAACAGTCCATGGTGGGGGGGTGAGGGGTCATTGATGATGTCACGGGCTCGGGACACGCAGCGCTGGGATGAAATCATAAACGGGACAGATGGACCCAGCATTCAAGGCGATTCGAACAATGGGAAGATTTAAAACGTTTAATGACAGAAAATCAAACCTAACAGAAATGCAGCTGCTGAGGATAATCGGACTGCAGCAGCTGCAGGGGGGCAGGGTGCAACCCATCACTGGCACCCTGGATGAGAGAGAAACACAGGAAGTGACCACCATCATCTGACAGGAGATGATTATCAGAGTGAGTCACTTACCTGGTTTAACAGTTCAGTCCATCTTCCTTTAAAGAGGTGAGATCCGGCCGATATGCTGCCAACGAGACGTGGCGTGCGCCGCCCACCGTGCCTCTGATGCTGCAGCTCTGGAATACTTGCAGGAAGCCGATTCCAGTACGTGGAAAACAGATCAGGCAGGAACAGTACAGGAATCCAGGAGTTCTCAGGTTCCGATCCAAGCAGGAACACAGAGATCCAGGCTTCCAGGAATCCTCAGAGCATGAAGGAATGTTCTGATGCGAACGGGTCCAGGAGCGTGGCCCGACAGACACGCACAGATGACAGGCAGGATCAGTGGTAGAGAGGACAAGACGTGGTTCCAGGATAAATGCAGAACTTTAAACTGGTCTCCAATAGGAGCCAGGCTTATGGGAGTTAAAACGGACCTCCCCCGCGTTCAGAGTCAAAGCCGTGAGGGCTCAGCAGAGAAGACCCGGGACACGAGCAGGAGACAGGAGACAAACATTAGACACTGAGGTTAATATACTGGAGGCGGAACAAAGAATGAGGGGGAACAGAAGGTGGCTCTAAGGCCCCGCCC